TACTAAATTGTACAGTTGATGCATTTGAGGGGTTAGGTGGGTCTTGCCACCCTCCTCTCAGCCACCCTTTCCCCGTCTCTGTACTCCAGTAGGTATGGGAAAGGAGCCAGAACAAATGATGCGCTTGTCATGAACAATCAATAGTAGGAGGTCGGCTTTGGCTTGAAATAGAGTGAAATATTTCTCTGCAGAAGCGCACTGTTAATAGGGTTTGCATCCATCCAGTGTAATGTCAACAGGAGGCTTGGCTAATGCATGCCAGCACTGTACCCCATGACTGAGCTTCTCCTCAAGACTGAGACCCTGTTCAAGGCACTGGACACAGTGTGAGGCCAGGGAGTGGTATGTGAGTTTGGAATATCTGGTGGCATTAAAAAAAATAGCCCAGGGAGACAGCTCAGTTAGTAGTGTGCTTGCTACCCACTCTCGAGGATCTGAGTTCAGATCCCGAGCAACCACATAAAAAGCCAGGCACAGTGGGTGGCACAGGTCTGGAATCTCAACACCTGGAGGTGGAAACAGGATGATCCAGGCTTCTGTGAGTAACATTAATTAAACTCAGTGGGGTACACACACACACACACACACACACACACACACACACACACACACACTCCACAAGGACAACCTGATTGGGAAAAGGAATGGGATCAGCAGGAACATGAGGGAGTCAAGAGAAGGTAGTAGGTGTGAATATGATCCAAATACATTATATCCATGTATGCAATATCATAATGAAACCCAGCACTATATATAATAAATGTATGATTTTATATATAATATATAATAAGTATATGACAAATAACATAAAAGAAACCTCTTCTCTTCTGTTTAGAATGATTTTGCCCATGACACTTGGCTCTCGCTTTCCTCATGCAGTGGATATTCCTCACTCTGCCCCTCCCCAGCTCCTCCCCTACATGTTCCCAGTCTTCCACAGTCCTGAATTCTGTACAGTGTCTTTGTGATCTTGAGTCTTTATGCCCTTTCCAGGCTGCAGTCACACATGCCACAGTGACCCTTTCCAGGAATCCCAAAGACCTCCCGTACATTTTGATCCCAGTAAGTCTTGTGAGAATGAAGGGACACAAGCCGTGACCTAAGGCAGCGGGTCCCAAAGGGTAGCTAAAAGTTAGCAATTTCATGGGTCAAAGTTCATATAAGAAAAAAGCATGCCAACTTCACCTCGGGACCACCGTGAGCCTTTGGGATGCCAGTGTCTCTGAGGGCAGTGCAGAAAGCAGGTCCAAGTTCATCCCATCCAGGAGCTCCTCTGTGAAGCTCAAGGAACTACCAAGGAAAGCCCACTCTCGTGCCCTACAAAGCACTCAGAGACACTGGCCAGACAGACTCAGCACCATTGTTGGCTCACACAGTGTGTGGTGGCAGCTCACCTTCCCCTCGTGCTGAGGAGAAGTCTGGGTATCAAAGTCTATAACCAACGGATCGTGGTAGGAGGACTGTGACTTCCCTGACATATTTTGTCTGTTTCCAGAATTCTGCAGAGTAACTGGATGGGAAAGACTTTGCCACATCATTAGTGACATGGGAAGAAGTGATGCTCTGAAGAGAGGAAGGACTCCAATATACAAATCTTAACCATTCAGGACACGTTAGCAAGAGATGTGCAGAGAGCACTCTTGCTCTGGCCAGGGTCCCAGCTGGTGGTAGGTGGCATGCATGACTGCAGGCTGTGAGGAAGGCAGCAGGTTAAGGGAAGCCCCTGAGGAGGTGGGAGCTACAGGCAGGAGCTGGCCATGTGCAGGAAGACCTTTGTGGATTGAAACAGTGACCTGGCCCTTCTCTTTCTAGCACATTCTACACTACTGCCCTGAACAGGAGTCCAGAGGTCAAGGAGGAGGTGAGGCAGTTCATGATGATCAGCCTCAGGGCAGAGTGCAGAGCTGGTCAGGAGGGAAGTACATTATTTCTAATCCCATCGCCATCTGTGAAGACAAGACTTCCTCCTTTCGGTTCTCCAGCCTGGCTCCTGGACGGATGTGCTGAGTTGAAGGTCGAGGCTGTTGGACCTGAGGACCTCAGATGAAAGGAATAAGAAGTGCCTCTCTGAAAGGAGCTTAAATACTACATACCCCAAGGAACGTTTGTCTAGGGAAGATACTTCAGTCACAGGCATGGGATGGATCCCTCAGAGGTTTCAACCTTGGACTTCTCTCCTCATCCATTCTGAGTTGTTCCCCAGCAGCAATGCTCCATGCATGCTCCTCATTCTAGTGCATGCATGTACTTATGTGTGCATGAATGTGTAATATCATGTGTGCTCATGGATGCACGTACATTGGGAGGTCTGACCAGGGGATGGACCTGAGGACTCAGAATCAGCACCACCAGGACAATTAGACTATCTAGAAAACAGTTGACTATGACCAGAGGTCAACTACAGGCTAGGATCAACTTTGCAGCAACTGTGGCCAGGAGACCATGTCAGGTAACAATGACCAGAAGGATTCAAGGGTATGGGAGACATTGGCCATGGATCCACACAGATATGGAACACAAAGAGGAGAACTACAAGGCAACACAAAAGCCCATGTCTGGTGAGAAAAGAAAGGATAATTGAGGGCTGGGGAGACGGCTCAATTGGTAAAATGCTCGCCAGGCAATCATGAGGACCCAAGTTCAGTTCCCAGAACCCAGGTAGAGATGCTGGGTGTGGCAGTACATACTTGTAATCCCACAACTGGGTTGACCGAGATGGGTGGATCTCTGGGCTCTCTGGCCTGCCAACCTAATATAATGGTGGATTCCAGGCCAGTGAGAGACCCTGTTTCAAAAACCAAGATGGATGGAGCCTGAGAAACAATACCTGAGGCTGATCTCTGTGTTCACCAGGCACACACACACACACACACACACACACACACACACACACACACAGGCAAGTCACTTCCCCAACACATGCATCCTGCTAATTACATATGTACCCCCATCCACATGTGCACCTATGTGAACACACACACACATACATAAACACACACACACACACACACACACACACACACACACACACACACACACACACAGGAATGGCCTACCAGGCAGTGAAGAATTGTCAGCACATCTTCATTAAACTGGCAATTTCAACACAAATTTTCAAAACCAACAATGCTCATGCTCTTGGGGCCATGGCAAAACATGTTTCCTTACTTCCTTTTGGATTTTGGAAACACATCCCAAGAAAATTTTATATTTCTGTACCTGTCACATGGTTTCCAATAACTTATCTAAAGATATGCCCTGTGTAAGAATGAAGGCAGCTGGGTGGCGGTGGCACATGCCTTTAATTCCAGCACTCGGGAGACAGAGGCAGGCAGATCTCTATGAGTTCGAGGCCAACCTGGTCTACAGATTGAGTTCCAGGACAGGCACCAAAACTACACAGAGAAACCCTGTCTCCAAAAACAAAAACAAAAAACTAAAAAACAAAACAAAAAAGAATGAAGGTGTACAGATAGTACCACTTTGATTACAGCACTATTTATATGAACAGTAGTATAAAGACATTCTTCTGCATGCATTTGGTTTAAGAATTTTGTGGTTAATCTCCACATGTGATGGATTTATTTTATTTTTAATTATGCATGCATGTGCACAGTTAAAAATTAAACTAATAAAAATGTGTGTGCGTGCCCATTTTTTGAGTGCCTGCAGAGGCCAGAAGAGGGTGCCAGATTCCCTGGAGCTGGAGTTCTAGGCAGTTGTGAGCTGTCTGACTTGGATACTGGGAACCCCACTTGGGTCCTCTGCAAGAGCAGTACATGCTCTTAACCACTGAGCCATCTCTTCTGCTCCTCCTGTCAATCTTTTTGGATATGAAAAAAGACCATCAAATGGCCCCTGTGATGTAGGAGTGGGTCTGTGAAATTTGCACCATAAGTGGATAGAGGAGGAGAAAGATGGACGTGAGCACAGTTTGCCCTGGGGCAGAGCAGAAGCTCAGCTCTTCTCTTGATTATTTTGTGTGATGTTGAACTTGATGCTGAGGTAACACACACATGTCCTCAGCATGTGTGATAGGCAAGTGTGTAAGCCTATGTTGAAGACGAAGTCACCTGTGCTGAATCCTAAGAACACTACAAAAAATGCAGCCAAAACTGGGGGAGAGGGGACTTTATGCCAGAACAAAGGCCACCAAGACCTTACACAGAAAGTGTTTCTGTGGGCATGTCTGTCTGTCCAGTGGCTGCCTGTCCAACCCAAACAGATGTGGCCCAGGAGACCTGTGTATTCTGCAGTTTTGGGGATGGAGCCCAGAGTCCTGGGCATGTTGGCCAAGCCCTCTGTCACCCAATGACACCTGCAGCCTCACCCTTGTTACTGACCTTTGCAGTAATATTTTACGTTGTTCTTGCTTCCTAGGGTGGTTTGAATGAAAATGGCTCTCATAGGGAGTGGTGTTATTAGGAGGTGTGGCCTTGTCGGAGTAGGTGTGGGTTTGGGGAGGAAGTGTGTCACTAGGGAGGGCTTTGAGGTTTCAGATGCTCTAGCAGGCCCAGGGTCACTTCCTCTTCCTGCTGCCTGAGGATCCAGATGTAAAACTCTCAGCTCCTTCTCCAGCACCACATCTGCCTACCATGCTTCCTGCCAATGACAATAATGGACTGAACCTCTGAACCTCTGAACCTCTGAACCTCTGAACCGTAAGCCAGCCCCAATTAGATGTTTTCCTTTATAAGAGTTGCTGTGGCCATGGTGTCATTTCACAGCAGTAGAAACCCTCACTAAATACTACCTTTTAACAGTTTCCCCTTGACGTCCATTCTTGAACACACCCACAAATTACTGCCCATCACAGTGTCTACCTGCCAATACAGTTACTGTCCTGGAGAGTCTCTCCATTTGTTATTTAGTTAACAAACAGCTATCCAAGAAGTGGATATCAAGAATGTATCACCACCTGTCTGAAACCTTGCCTTCTCTCCCCAGGGCAGACCCCAGCATGCATTAGTAATTGGCCTGTGGCCTTGTGTGGTTGTTACCTAGCAGCGCTCCCGTGGGCAGCTGAGCTGAGGGCTCCTTCATCCAGTCGTCATTAGCCAGCTCTATCACGGCGTCCACGGGCTCCACCTCAGTGCAGATCAGTTCCTGCACAGTGTCCTTGTCCCCAGTGGCCAGGGCAGACTTTAATCTCCTCACTAAGTCTGAACTGAGGGGGTAATCTGGTGGTGAGTCCCAACTGGACATTGTGGTGTCCCTGCACAGGAGCAAGCCTTCTTCTCTTCTTCTAATGCATGTCCAAAGTTAGCCCTGTCCTCAGAGGAGCAGAGGTAGCTATAAATAGAACCAGGGCTGGGTTACGATCAGCAGGGAGGGCCCAAGCTGCTGTTACTTCGACTGCAGGGCCGAGGAGGTCTCTTCTCAGGGCCACTGTGCAGGCTGCTAGAGAGATGGGCGTAGGCAGCTCTTTAGAGGGAAACTCTGGAAGTGGCATTGTTTGAGAAGGTTGGGTCAGTTATCTTTCTTATTGTGGTAACCAAATTCCTGACAGGAAGCAACTTAAAGTGTGTGTGTGCTGGGGGGTGGCGCTGATTTTGGCTCACAGTTGGAGGGGCTACAGTCCATCGGGGAAGTGCAATGCAGTATAGCAGGGGAGGCATGGACATGAGTGTGAGGCAGCTGGTCACGACATCACTTCCACGGTCACGAAGCATTGAGCAGACAGGAAGCAGGGTGGTGCTAAAAGACCTCAAGGCTGGCCCCTGTGACTCACTTCCTCCAGTGAGAGTCCACCTCCTAAAGGCTCCACAATCTTCCAAAACAGAGCCACCAACTGTGGACCAAGTGTCAGAACACATGAGCCTTGGGGGACATTTTATCTTGAAACCACACCACAGGGTGTTACTATGTAGTTTAAGCTGAACTCGAACCTGCCATCCTCCTGCCTCAGCCTCTGGAGTGCAGGGATGACAGGGATGTGCCTTAAGGCCAGCTTAGAGGTATTGTTGACTGTTTCCTTTCTCAACACAGGCCACAGAAACATCTACCTGACCTGGTCTTGGGTCTTCTGTTGTATTGAGAGGGAGCACATGCTGATATTCTATATTATTTATTTACAGATCTATTTAAAGACATCATGTAGTCCACGGTGGCCTCAGACTTATTAGTACAACCTTAAACTTCTGATCCTGCTGTCCCCTCCTGAGAGCTGGGATAATAGTCTGTGTGCTACCCTATCGAGCTGTGTGTGGGGCTGGGGATGGAACCCTGGTCTTCCTGCATGCTAGGCAAGTGCTCCATCCCCAGCCCTGGCATTAGGGTCTTGAGTTTGGGCTCCCACATGCAGGTGGTTTTCTGTGTGGCTGGGGAGTGGCCACAGGGACTAGTGACTGCAGGGAGGAGTGCACAGAAACACAGTGGCATTGTGCTAGGCTGCTATCAAACCCCAAATCAGAAGGGAGGCGAGGGCCCAGCTCTCGTTAGGCAGATAATAGGATGACAATGTCTCAAAATACGGCCCTCGCCGATCTTAATTACCCAGCGATCTGCTGGGTGGTTAATCAGCGGCACATACACTATGCTAATGATCCTGGCTAATTTTGTTATAATGTAATCCTTTATCAAGCCCGTGATGTATAAATTAGGAATTGAAATGTAACTAACACAAATTATATTTAAGGCAACATGCATTTCTTTATTTCAGTATGAAAATTTCTCATCTTGGCTTCTTGCTTTGATGGACTTTCCCTTGTTCCTAATGCACCCCCCTAAAATAGGAGAAAGGAAGACAGTACCCCTAAGTTCCCCCACCCCCACTTACTTCTTAGAAGCCGTAGATCTCACTTTCTCCTTCAGTGGTTGTCTGTGAAAGGCTCACAACATATAAGGCAGTCATGGCAGGTGGATCCCAGCAAACCTTGTGTCTGTCACCCCCAGTGCTGGGGTTATAAGTGCTCATCGCCATGGCCAGCTTTTAGATGGATGCTAGAGAATTCAGGTCCTCAAGCTTGTGTGGCAGGCACTACATTGGCTGAGACATCTCCCCAGACCTTTGTCTGCCTGCATTTATGATGAAAGTTAGTCAATTCTGGGAGGTCCAAAGGACTATGGCACAAGGTGTCCCTATATAGCTCATCCTGGTTGAAACTCTCCATCTTCCTGCCTCAGCCTCCCCAGTGTCAGGGTTACAGGCATAAGCCATCGTGCCCAGCTCAAGGTAGGACTTTTGGAAAGTGATTAAGATAAAAGCCATGAGAGTGCAGGCCCCATGATTGAGTCTGGGTGGTTTTGTAAGAGGAGAGACACACACACAATGCTCGTGTTTCTTGTCACACAAGAGACTACCTTGGGACTCTACCAGCAAAAAGGCCATCACTAGATAAGACCTTTGACCTTGTACCTCCAGAACCTTGAGACATAGAGAAACTTTCTACTTTATAAAGTCACCTGCTTCAGGTATTTTGTTATGCAACAAAGAAGGATCTAATTGATCTTTTTAGTGGCTTCCCTAACTGAGAGCTAGGGGAGCCAGGAACTTTACAATCTGGCTGAAAAATCTCTGATTTCTTTCTAGCTGTGTCTCTCACACCTTTTCAAGGGCAACATTTTCAACCAAGGCACGAGAGTGAACATGCTCACTGTTCCGTGTCAGGATTGGCTTGCCCATCAGCTCAGTGGGTGGCACAGTGGTTTTCATGGCAGTTTTTTGTGCAATGAGGGAGCAGGGCCATTCACTCTTCTCTGTGTTTTGACAAGGTGTGACACCAGCCAGGCATGTTAGGTATTTTTGGTGACTCTGGCAGGAGTTTCTGTTCTGAGGGGCTTGACTTTGAAGGTCTAAGCATTGTGCTCCCTAGATGGAGGTGAGGGTGTGTTCTCAAGAACAAACACCTGGATTTCATTCACTTATCGTTTTGAGACAGGGTCTCACTCAGTAGTCTGGAGTAGTCTTGAATTCATGGCGCTCCTTTTGCCCTAGCCCCCTCAAAGGTGGGTGCAAGTCCAGGCGTGTACTGCCACACTTCACGGGTAAACCCCTCCGAATCCTGACTTAGGCCAGGCACTTGCTGTGCGGAGAACACAACAAGCCCTACACTGAAGGCCGATGACAGCTCTGGCCTTGCCTGCACGTTTCTCAAGTCTTGTGTTTATCATTGTGCTTTCTTTTCTCAGAGCTCAGGGGCAGGGGCTTTCATGTCCTCACTTGGCTCATGAGGAACCAGGCAGGACATCATTGACTGAGGTCCCACTGCTTGTCCTAGTTAGGGTGACCATTACTATGATGAAACACTGTGACCAAAAGCCACTTGGGAGGGATTTTTTTTAATTTTATCTTTTTATTTTAAGTTTTTTTTATTATTTTTTTTATTTTTATTTTTTATTTTTTTTTTTTTTGGTTTTTTCGAGACAGGGTTTCTCTGTGTAGCTTTGCGCCTTTCCTGGAACTCGCTTTGGAGACCAGGCTGGCCTCGAACTCACAGAGATCCGCCTGGCTCTGCCTCCCGAGTGCTGGGATTAAAGGCGTGCGCCACCACCGCCCGGCAGTTTTTTTTATTATTAAAATCTATTTATTCTATGTATTTTCACATCATATATCTTGATCCCATTTATTCCCTGTCCCTTTGCATCTGCCCTCCACCCCTGCTCACCCCCCAATAAAACAAAATTCAAGAGAAAAAAATGAAAATAAAATGAGAAAAATTTAAAAAAAAACAAAAGGGAGGGGAAGGAATTAAAAAGTCTCATCATGGAAGCTTCAGTGTGACCCAGCAAGTCACACCATATACGCCTTGGTCCATACATCTCTACTTGCAAGTGTTCATTGCAAGGAGTCTGGTCTGGTTTGAGGCCTGGTCTCCACTACACGTTTGATGCTGGGCCCCCATTAAGACTCTTCCTGGACATCCTGCTGGTGCCCTGTATTGTGGAGATCCTGCAGCTTTGGGTCTGTGCGTCAGGTCCCTTCACGTACTCCAACAGATCATAGATGCAATGGATGTTGGGGCAAGCTAAGTCATAACCCTGGGTCTGGGCCTGGACAGCTGTGGGGTTGGTCCTCTAGATGGGAGATGGGGATAGTTGTCCCATGCCCACCATTTCAGGGTTGGCTCACCCACACCTCCGCTAACGGAGTTGGCTCTTTTGTGCTGCCCTGGCTAAATAGGGGGCCTGTTCTCCTGAGTGCTGCAGCAGGTGGGGGTCAGGGATAGTTCTCCCATGCTTAGGACCACGGGGCCATCTCTTCCACTTGTCTCAGGCATTGATGGGCAGGGTGGCAGGAAGGGGAGGGCACTTCTCTTCTGCCCATGTTGCCACAAGATAGATATCTGGGTAATGGGGGCAGCTCTCTCATGCTCGAGACTTCTGGGGTGGCTCACACCTGCACTGACAGTGTTGGCTCTGTTGTGCTGCTCTGGAGGGGTGCAGGGCCTGCTCTCCCAAGTGTTGTAGCTGGTGGGGGTCAGGAACAGCTCTCCCGTTCTTATGACCACAGGCCCAGCTCTCCCACCTGCCCCAGGTATTGATAGGTGGGAGGGCATCCCTCCTAGCCCATGTTGCTATGTGGCAGATGAGGGGTGGGGCTAGGCCTCCCATGAGGAAAAGTTTTATTTGGCTTACACTTCTATATCACAAAAGGAAGTCAGGACAGAAACTCAAAGAGGGCAGGAACCTAGAGGCAGGAGCTGAAGCAGAGGTCATGGAGGAGTGTTGCTTATTAGCTTGGTCCTTATGGCTTGCTTAGTCTGCTTTTTTATAGAACCCAGGACCACCAGTCTAGGGGTGGCACCATCCACAATAGGTTGTGCCTTCCTACATTGATTGCTAATTAAGAAAATTCCCTACAGGTTTTTCTATAGCCAGATCTATGGAGGCATTTTCTCAATGGAGGCTACCTTCTCTTGGATGACTTCAGCTTGTGTCAAGCTGACATAAAACTAGCCAGCACTCTGCTGTTCTTCCAGAACACCCCAGTTCATTTCCCAGCACCCAGATAGATGGTGGCTCACAACTGCCTGTCACTTCAGATTCAGGGGATCTGACTCCCTTTTCTGACCTCCACAGGCACTTGTGTTCAGGTACACAAAGCCCCTTATGGGCACAGACATACACATAATTAAAAATAATAAAAACAAATCTTGACAACACCATTTGATAATCTCTAATATTCATTTCTTACCACGTCTTGTAGTAAACTAGAATAAGTGTGAGAGAGACTGTCTTTGTGGGAGTAACAGCTAGCATCTTAG